CCCTTGCGAAGCCTGACTCGGCCTCCCAGGGCGCGCGGGAACTGGATAGTTTTCATGCGCTCCTCTGGCGGCTTGAGCATCTCTCGCTGCTCGTCTGCGAGCTCGAGGTCTAGCTCTGCAAGCTCGAGGAGGCAGGGGTTCTCGTCGTCCTCGCAGTCCCTCGGCAAGTCCTCGACTGCGAAGCACTCGCCGTCTAGCGAGCTCCAGTCGGGCACTGGAAGCACGTTCTCGGGCCAGCTCGCAACGGCCTCGAGCCTCTCCCTGGCCAGTCTCGGCTCGATGCCTCGGCCAGCCTCGGTGGAGTAGCTCCAGGGTTCGTCGCCCATCACGATATTCTGCTCGTTCTGCTCGGTCGGCCTCGCCGCGACCCATCCCCCTCCTCATCCTCGGCCTCCTCCTCCTTGCCCCCTTCTCCCCCCCCCCCCTCTCCTCTTCAGGGGGCCACGGCGAGGGGGAGATATAAGGTTACATGGAGAAAGAGAGAGAGAGATAGAGAGAGGGAGAGAGAGAAGAGAGAGAGAGAGAGAGAGAGAAGAAGAGAGAGAGGAGAGAGATAGAGAGAGGAGAGAAGAGAGAGAGAGAGCAGAAGAGAGAGAGGAAGAGAAAGAGAAGAGGAGAAAGAGAAAGAGAAGAGAGAGAGAGAGAAAGAGAGAAGAGAGAGAGAGAGCGATAGGGAGAGAGGAGAGGAGAGAGAGAGAGAGAGAGAGAGAGAGAGAGAGAGAGAGAGAGAGAGAGAGAGAGAGAGAGAAAGAGAAAGAGAGAGGGTCAATAAACATCTAAGGAACATGACTATATATATATATATAAAGGACAAGAGGAGGAGCAGGAGGATCAGGAGGAGCAGAAGGAGGAGAGAGGAGAGGAGAGGAGAAGATGGAAGCGAAAATCCAAAGTTCAAAAATTATTAGATAAAAATTGCAAGCGCTTGATGAAACTTAAAAATGTTTCATCTGCTCGCGTAGGAGGCTCGATCCTCGATCGACCCTCGGACCGAGAGTCCAAGTTTCTCGGGCCAGGGATCCGAGATCTCGTGATCTCGGATCAACGACGGCCCGAGGCTCTCGGAGCCTCGATCCGAAGATCGATCGAGGATCGAACCTCGACGAAGGGATCTAAGACGAAATGACCTTGAGACAGATGCTCGATCCTCGATCGCCCCTCGGATCGAGAGTCCAAGGTTCTCGGGCGAGGGGTCCGAGATCTCGTGATCTCGGATCAACGATGGCCCGAGGCTCTCGGAGCCTCGATCCGAAGATCGATCGAGGATCGAGCCTCGACTGAGTTGCGCTCGGTGTTACGCTCGAGAGGGGGCTGACGAAGCCTCTCGGGAAACCTCTCGGAAAGCTCGAGGGAACGGGCCTTGATCGCCGCTCGCTCCTCGATGAGGCCTCGATGAAGCCTCGCGCTGGGCCTGCTCGGCTAAAACCTCCATCTCGATCTTCTCGAACTCCTGCTTGCTCGTCTTCTCGACCTTCATCTCCTCGCACTCGCTGTTGATATTGGCGTAGCTCGGGAAGCTAGTCTTGATGTAAACATCGAAGAACACCTTATGATGCTCGAGCTTCTTCTTCCTCGATGTCCTCGTCGCGCTTGAGGTGCTTGGCGGCGGTGTACTTGTGCACGTCGAGCTCGAAAGCCTTCTTTGGCCACCTTGCTGACTTGCCAGCACCGCGCCACGATGGCGCTCGTGGCGCAGATGCGCTCGCTTGCGTCGCCCTCGAGGCAAAACCGCTTGAACTCGTCGAAGTGGTCCTTGGCCTTCTTGGGCACGATTGCTACCGACTCGAACTGCCCCTTGCCCTTCTCGGCGCTGGCCCTCGGCAAGACAGGCTTGAATTGCTTGTTCACTGGAAGCATCACCTCGCGCAGCGCTTGCAGATCTTGGGGGGGTCTTGGGGGATCTCGCCGAGGACCTGCTTGACAACCTTGGTCGCGGCCCCCTCGGGCATCAGTTCGGCCCGGTCGCCGAGGAGCGCGTCGCGCGTTTTGGCCTCGTCGGGCAACTCCGCTCGGAAGCTCGGCAACATCCTGAACAACTTCTCGACGTTCGTGTCTGGGTCGTCGAAGCCGTCGAACACCTCGGCGCCCCCCTCGATGTGCGTCTTGCAAAAGATCGCACAGAGCAGCTCGCCGCGCCGCTTGTCCTTGCCGTGGAAGATGCCGTCGTACTGGATGCCCCCAAGGCTCCCCGTCTTGAGGACGCTCGCGAGGAGAGCGTTCTTGATGTTCTTGTGACACAGCGCGGAGCCGCCTCGGCAGTAGAAGCTCGTCATCCTCGAAGCGTCGGTAGCCTCGCCGCTCAATTGGCACTGCCTCATCTCGGCGCAGCCTGCCTTCTCGGCGATGTGCTCGAGTGTCTTGCTCTGCACCTCGATGGCCTCGTTCTGCTTCTCGAGCAGCTTGGGCATCTGCTCCAAAACCTTGTTATTCTGCTTGGGCAGTTCGATGGCTTGGCCGTCCTCGGCGAGCTGGGGGCTCGACGCCTTGGGCGACGCCAAGGCTCGGGGAGCTGAAGCTCGAAAGGTTCGAAAGCTCGAAAGGCTCGGAAGCTCGAAAGCTCAAGGCGCTCAAGAAAGAACGGTTGCGGGCGGGAGCAGGAGACTAGCTCGCTTCGCTGGGTACATCCTCGAACACGTGCTCGCTTCGCTTGAAACATCCTCGAACAAATCTCTCGTTTCGCTTGAGACATCCTCGTCAAATCTTTCATTTCGCTGGAGACATCCTCGAGCAATTGCTTGTTTCGCTTGAGACATCCTCGAACAAATCTCTCGTGTCGCTTGAGACTTCCTCGACAAATCTCCCCTCTCGCATGAGAAACCCTCGAGTATATGCTTGTGCCGCTTGAGACATCCTTAAGAAACGTACTGTTTCGCTTGAGACGTCCTTCAGTGTATGCTAGCATCGCTTGAGACATCCTCGAATGCATGCTTGATCCGCTTGAGACATCCTCGACAACGTGCTCGTTTCGCTGGATACATCATCGAAAACATGCTCGTTTCGCTGGAGACATCCTCGAACAAATCTTTCGTTTCGTTTGAAACGTCCTCGACAAATCTCTCATTTCGCTTGAGACATCCTCGAGTATATGCTTGTTCCGCTTGAGACATCCTCGACAAATTTTCGCTTAGCTTGAGACCTCCTCAAATAATTGCTGGTTCCGCTTGGGGCACCCTTGAAGTATTGAGCGTTTGGTTTTAGGCTGCCTACCAAAATTAATGGTTTCGCTTGAGACATCCTGACCAAAAACGCGTTCGCTTCGCTTGATGTTGTTATCTCAACATAAGAAGGAAGTAACCTCGATGGTGCATTTTCCCCGCGATAATGAAGTTCGGCCCCCGCGCCCCCCGCCCCCATTTGAAAACCGCCTAGGCCGACGATGATAAACTCAAAAGACCTAAAGGGGGGGGGGGGGGGCACATTATTATCGCGGGTTCGCGGTTAACCTGCGGCCGCTCGGGCCCGTCAAAATGGATGGGGGGGGGCACAAGAGCAAGAAAAATCAACGAATCGACACCGGATGTGTATTAACTTGACACGTTCTGAAGAGGGCCTCCTGGGGCCTCCTGGGAGCCTCCCGGGGGCCCCTGGGGCCTGTCCTGGGCGCCCCGCGGCCTCCTGGACCTCTCTGGGGCCTCCTGAGGCTCGCAGGGCACCGTGGAGGACATGTAACACGTGGTCTTCTGGGCGCCCAGGCTGGACCACCTCTCGCGCAGCATGTGAGAGCCAAGAGTTGCGATAATGTCTTGTGCGAAACAGGCCGGACCACCTTGCGCGCGGCATCTCAGAACTCAAAGTTGCAAGGATGTCTCAGGCGAGACGGGCCAGGCCACCTCGCGAAGGCCTTCTCAGAGCTCAGAAGTTCGAGGACGTCTCAGGCGAAACGGGCCGGACCACCTCTCGCGCGGCATCTCCGAAGTCAGAGTTTCGAGGATGTCTCAGGCGAAACGGGCCGGACCACCTCGCGCAAGACATCGCAGAGCTCAGAGCCCCGAGGATGTCTCAGGCGAAACGGCCTGGAACACCTCTCGCACGGCACCTCGGGGCTCAGAGTTTCAAGGATGTCTCAAGCGAAACGGCCCGGACCACCTCTCGCGCGGCGCCCCGGAGCGCAACTTTCCGAGGATGTCGCAGGCGAAACGGCCAATCCCGGCCAACTCAGAAACGAGAGTTGTGAGGATGTCTCAAGCGAAGACCCAAAACCATAAAATTTGTGTGAGGATGTCTCTGCTCCGCGTTCCCTCGGCCGGAGTTAGTTTCTCTCACATTAGCACCCCGTTGAGCAAGCTGTTTGGGGAACAACTGCATGAAGAATGTGCGTCGTATCGCTGTCTGTCTGTTGTGCGCATGCGATGGGTGTCCTGTTGTCGTGATGGCATGCTGCGTTGTGCGAATGCGCGACACTTGTGATGTGAGCGCGGCTTGCGCTGCGTATGCTGCGCATGCAGTGTGGCGTGCCTGCGTGCGTTGCGTTGTCCGTGGTTTTCCCATCATATATATAAATATAAATATATATGCGTGTTTCGCGCGCGCGCTGTGCTGCGCTACGCGCGAAGGGCGCGCGCGCGGCCAGGATTGGCGGCACCGGCAGAAAGGTATCTACATGTCGTAACATTATGCACGCGGTGCTCTGATAGGCTACTGGAAGCCCGCGAGAGCTTCAGAGGCGTCCTCCTGCGAAGTCGTCCGCTTCCCCAACGAAATAAACTGTTGGCATCCATTTGAAGGAGTCGCTGCATCGGCGCAGTCGTCTTCACCCAGCAGCCCTCCGACATCGGCGCCAGCATTTCCGAGGTGCTTGACGTAAAAAATCAAGTATTTCACACCCTTGTCCGCGCAGCCGCGCACGACCTTCAGCTCCACAGGGCCAAGCTTCGTCCAGCTGGGCATCTGGAGAGTCGCGCCGCTCACCTCCTCGGCGCTGAAAAGAAATCCGCCTGTCCGCGCCTCGTTGGCCCACGCCCAGCGTCTGGAAATCCGCCGCCGTGCCCCCCGGCACTCCCAGCCGTGCCAGAATGCCAAGTGCTGTCTGGCAGGGATCCCGTGGATCCTCTTAAGCACCTCCCCCCCTCGGGACGCGCTTCCCCGCGCGCGCCGGGCCCTCTCCCGGGGCCACAACCTTCGAAAAATACAACCGATTCGCATTCGGTAAAAGCTACGCGCGTCGCCTTGCGGCTTCCCGCATGACCTCGGGGAGGGCAATTTTCGGCACCGCCCAAAAAGACGCCGGCCTCCGAGGGCGGAAATTCAAGCCCCCCGACCCAAGAGGCCGCCAAGATGACCCCACGAGGCCCCCAAGAGGCCCCCAGGAGCCCCCAAAGGGCTCCAAGAAGCTCCAAGGAGGCGGGATATGCCGAAACCAACTAGATGCCACCGGCTCGCGCTCCCGAGGCCCAAATTCCTCGTAGACAATGAAAGATCGGCGTTCCCGAAGCCAAGATGACTCAAAGACGGCTCAAGATACCGCAGCTCCAAGAAGACGGCCCAATTTGCTCTCAAGATCACCAACGATGGCTGTCACCTGCGACGATTTCGGCGCGCGTCCCACAGAAGCCCAGCACAGCCCCAAGACGCCCCAAATGAGGTCTACGAGCACTCCTCGAGAAGTGAAGACAATAGATGTCGCACGTGACGGAATTACCCCTTCTTTTCCTCATGCTCATCCAGCTCCTCCACCCCCCCTCCTCAACATCATCCTGATATCTTCAGATGCCATCCTTATCAGGGTCCCAATCACCGTCCTGGTCTTCATTTCATCATCGTGCACGTCAGAATCGTCATCGGCATCAATATCATCATCCGAACCATCATCATCATCATCATCACCATCATCAGCGCCATCGAGCCTGGAGATACAATGCATCACAAGTTAGGGAATCCGCGCTCCCTCGCGCAAAGACCACCGATATACCTGGGCTGGCATGGCGGTGGGACTTGCCGCAGGCAGCTGGGTACAGTTCCCCACAATGTGCGCCCGACTGGCGCGCATCCGCCATGACGGTGAGCAGCGCGTCGTCGCCGGCCTTTCCGCGCGGGATCTGGATCAAAACGGCCTTGCCAGGCCTCCTCAAATCAAACCGTTCACCGTAGATGCTTTGCAGATGCGGGTCGCCCGTTGCAGACGCTGGCGTCGGCGCGAGCGTCGGTGTTGGCGTCGGCGCAAGCGTCGGCCCAGCATGCGGAGCGACTGCAAATCGTGCCAACTTTCCAGAATATCCAAAACCAAATAATTCTTTGTTTCTATAATACGGGTTCACGTGCCCGTAAGTCCCGTCTGCGAAACCGCCATAGAATCCCCTGAGCTCGCCGTCCTCGTCGGCCAAGCTGAGGACTTCAATGGCGTTGAACCCAAACAGCGGGAAACGAACAACTTTTGAAAAGTCACGATGTGGAACGACGTAGCCGTGCGTCCCGTCTGTAAAGCCGCCGCCGAACCCCCTGAGCCCGCTGCCCCCGGTTTCCAAGTCGAGGGTCTCGACACTGTTGAACCCTGACAGCGAGAAACGAACGACTTTTCCAGAATGTGGCCCGCCGTCTTCGAACCACGGGGCCAAGTATCCGTGGGGCCCGTCCGTGAAGCCGCCATTAAACATGCGAACCCCAACCGCTAGGGCCTCGACATTGTTGAACCCAGACAATGAGAAACGAACAACTCTTCCAGCTAGGTTCAACGACAGAGGGGTTAAATACCCGTGAGTCCCATCTGTAAACCCGCCGCTGAAATACCCTGCGTAGCCCAAGCTGAGGTCCTCGACGTTGCCCAACCCAGACAAGGAAAAACGAGCGACTTTCCCGTTCGTCGAAATCGCGTACCCGTAGTTTCCGTCCGTAAATCCAAAACTCCTGCAATTGAAATCGCCGTCCGCGGTGGCCAAGTTGCTGACATCGACGCGGTTGAACCCTAACAACGAGAAGCGAGCAACTTTTCCGGCGCGGCTGATCACATACCCGAAGGTCCCAGCAGGAAACGCGCCAGCACAGCTTTGGATGTCGCTGTCCGCGGCAGTCAGATTCAGAACCTCGACGCCATTGAACCCCGCCAACGAAAAACGAGCGACAAGCCCCGTGACAAAGCTAGCCATGTACCCGTGGGCCCCGTCCGAAAAGCTGTTACGAAGTGCTGCAAGGTTGATGTCCGCGTCGGCCAAGTTGAGGACCTCGACGGCGCTGAAGTCTCTCGTCGCGCCCTGCGCATGAGTACTCATTCGCGAGGCGTTGTGCTTAGAGAAGACGCGATGAACACGATCTCCCGCCTGCGTCGCCTCGGCGCTCGTGGCGGGCACGTTCTGCAAAGGAAACGCCACCGCGCACGCGGTGCACTGCGCCTTCCCAATAGCGAGCATCAGGAAACTGGACGAAACAGGGGGGCCAGGAAATGAATGCGAAAGAAAGTGCACGGTTAAAGTGCTGACCGAAGAAGCTGCGTTAGCGCTGCCTTTCAGACCCTTGAGCCAGTCTGGGGGGGGCGCCTCCGATGATGGGCGTTGCCGAAGAGTTTCCCTCTAGACATGTCTTTCGAATGGGAAAAAACCTGGAGAGCGGGAAAAAACTCGAGAACCCCTTCCCGCAGCGGGGAGACACTTCTCAAGAAAAAACGTTGAAAATGACCCCCCCCCCGCTAGAAATCCGATCTAAAGGGCGAAACCGTCAGTGGGAGCCACGGCCGGGCCGCTCTTCCGAGGAATTTTTAGAATTTCTGGAATTCCTGGAATTTTTAATTTTTTCTTGCATTTCTGGAATTTCTGGAATGTCTAGATGTTCTGGGTTTTCCGGGAATTTCTGGAATGTTTAGAATTTCTGGAATTTCTGGATTTTCTTGGAAAACTAGAATATTTGGAAATTCTGGAATCTCTGGAATTTCTGGATTTCCTAGGGATGTCTGGAATTTCTAGCAGTTCTGGGTTTCCGGGACTTTCTGGAATTTCTAGAATTTCTGCAAATGCTGGATTTCCTAGATTTCTGGATTTTCTGGAATTTCTAGGTCTCCTGTGAATTTCTGAGATTGACGAGTTCGCAAGGAATGTATGGAACGTCGGGAATTTCTGGAATTTCCGGAATGTTGAGATTGTCTTTCGATTATTTGGAATTTCTGGAATTTCTAGAATTTCTGGCATTTCCAGAAACCCCAGAAATTCCATATTATATATATATATATATAAAGCCTGGCGAAGGACCCAACCATATGCAGTTGAGAGTACCGCAATTGTGAATATCTTCTTCGGTGGCGCTCCCTATGGGGCCACGAGCCGTATGAGGGGTGTGCCGAAATGCGTGGCAGTGTACACAACACGAACGAAGACGATAGGTCCGAATATGAAAGCTTGAGCGCGTGCGAGTCGGATCGCGAGCGAGTCTGATTATGAATGAATCTGCGCGCGATTGATTCTATTCGCATGAATGCGTGCATGGATACGCCCAGTGTAAATGTATGTATACGACTGTGAACAGTTTGGGTCTGCGTGACTCTCGGTACTCGTGACTCTGAGCGTCGCCTCTGCAGGGGGCTTCCCTGGGAACCCCGACGGCAGCGCCCGCGCGCCGCGACGCCCATGTCGGCACGCCACACACCTGGTGTGCGGGACGCATGCGGACGGCAGCACTGGGGCCTTCGGTGGAGCTCCCTGTGGGGCCACGAAACGTGTGAGGGGTGTGCCGAAATGGGTGTGCGGGACGCATGCGGACGGCAGCCATGGGGCCTTCGGTGGAGCTCCCTGTGGGGCCACGAAACGTGTGAGGGGTGTGCCGAAATGGGTGTGCGGGACGCATGCGGACGGCAGCACTGGGGCCTTCGGTGGAGCTCCCTGTGGGGCCACGAAACGTGTGAGGGGTGTGCCGAAATGGGTGTGCGGGACGCATGCGGACGGCAGCCATGGGGCCTTCGGTGGAGCTCCCTGTGGGGCCACGAAACGTGTGAGGGGTGTGCCGAAATGGGTGTGCGGGACGCATGCGGACGGCAGCACTGGGGCCTTCGGTGGAGCTCCCTGTGGGGCCACGAAACGTGTGAGGGGTGTGCCGAAATGGGTGTGCGGGACGCATGCGGACGGCAGCCATGGGGCCTTCGGTGGAGCTCCCTATGGGGCCACGAAACGTGTGAGGGGTGTGCCGAAATGGGTGTGCGGGACGCATGCGGACGGCAGCACTGGGGCCTTCGGTGGAGCTCCCTGTGGGGCCACGAAACGTGTGAGGGGTGTGCCGAAAGGGGTGTGCGGGACGCAGGCGGACGGCAGCCATGGGGCCTTCGGTGGAGCTCCCTATCGGCGGCCACGAAGCGTGTGAGGGGTGTGCCCGAAATGAGATGGGCGGGAGGACGTCATGCGAGCCGGCAGCACAAAGAAACGAATGGGTGCCCTTCGGTGGGAATGCCTCCTGTGGGGCCAGAAACGGGTGAGGGGGTGTGCCGAAATGGGTGGCGGGACGCATGCGGGACGGCAGAACATGGGGCTCTTTCGGTTGGAGCTCTCCTGTGGGGCACGAAGCGTGTGAAGGGGGTGTGCGCACGAAATGTGTGTGAGGGACGCATTGCGGACGGCAGCATTGGGGCATTCGTGGAGTTCCCCAGTGGGGCCACAGAAACGTGGGAGGGGTGACGAAATGGGTGTGCGGGACGCTGCGGACGGCAGCCATTGGGACTTCGGGTGGAGCTCCCTAGGGCACGAAGCGTGTGAAGGGGTGTGCCGAAATGGGCTGTGCGGGACGCATGCGGGCGGCAGCACTGGGGCTTTCGGTGGGGCTCCCTATGGGGCCACGAAGCGTGTGAGGGGTGTGCCGAATTGGGTGTGCGGGACGCATGCGGGCGGCAGCACTGGAACCTTCGGTGGGGCTCCCTATGGGGCCACGAAGCGTGTGAGAAATGTGCCGAATTGGGTTTGCGGGGCGCATGCGGGCGGCAGCACTGGGGCCTTCGGTGGAGCTCCCTATGGGGCCACGAAACGTGTGAGGGGTGTGCCGAAATGGGTGTGCGGGACGCATGCGGACGGCAGCACAGGGGCCTTCGGAGGAGCTCCCTATGGGGCCACGAAACGTTTGAGGAGTGTGCCGAATTGGGTGTGCGGGACGCATGCGGGCGGCAGCACTGGGGCCTTCGGTGGGTCTCCCTATGGGGCCACGAAACGTGTGAGGGGTGTGCCGAATTGGGTGTGCGGGACGCATGCGGGCGGCAGCACTGGGGCCTTCGGTGGGGCTCCCTATGGGGCCACGAAGCGTGTGAGGGGTGTGCCGAATTGGGCGTGCGGGACGCATGCGGGCGGCAGCACTGGGGCCTTCGGTGGGGTTCCCTATGGGGCCACGAAACGTGTGAGGGGTGTGCCGAAGTGGGTGATGACGATGACGATGACGACGATGACAATGACGATGGTGATGATGATGATGATGATGATGATGATGATGATGATGAGGATGATGATGACGATGATGATGATGATGATGGGAGGGGGAGGAAGCGGAGGAGGAGGAAGGAGGAAGGAAGGAGACGCGGGGCACCGTCTCTTCAAAACGAGGACCCAACACCACAGGATGGTTGGGGGGGGGGGGGGAAAAAAAACTCCAGAAATTCAAGAAAATTCCAGAAATTCAAGAAATTCCGGACATTCCAGAAATTCCAGAAATCCAACAAATATTTAGAAAATTCTTGGGATAGAGAAGATGCGTGGTGAGTGGCGCATTGTGAGTAGTGCGTTGTGAGTATATCTGGGTAGTGCGTTGTGAGTATATCCAGAAAATCCCGACATTCCAGAAATCGAAAAATCCCGGGAGTTTCACATATCCAATAGGTCCTCAGAAAAGCAAGGCCGTGAAAAGAGAGTAGGGGATACGGAGTGAGTCGTTGGCCGCGATTAGAGAGTAGGGGGTATGGAGTACGGAGTAGGGAGTAGTGAGTCGTGAGTCGCCGGTCGTGAGTAGTGAGCGTGTAGTTCTCATAGGGAGTAGCGAATAGCGCGTAGGGAGTAGCGAGCAGCGAGTTGCGAGTAGCGAATTGCGAGTAGGGAGAAGGGAGCAGCGAATTGCGAGCATCGAGTTGCGAGCAGGAAGAAAGGAGTAGGGAGAAAGGAGTAGCGAGTAGCGAGTAGCGAGTAGTTAGCGAGTAGCGAGCAGCGAATGATGCCTGGCTCCAGGAATTCCTCTGAATAGCGGCGCCGGCCCTGGCCTTGTCACCGGGGTGTAGTGAGTGCTGGGTAGTGAGTACTGAGTAGTGAGTCGTGAGTGGTGCGTATTGGGTGGTGCGTAGTGGGTGGTGGGGTAGGAATCGGGTTCCGGAGCCAGGGGGCCCCCTTTTCAAAGGGAGGGGGAGGGCCTAAGATGCCCCCCAAGACGGGCCCAAGAGGATTCCAAGACTGCCCCAGACGCTTCCCAAACGCCTTACATGGTCCCCAGACGGCCAGAAGCCGGCTCGTCGGAGGAGGAGAAGGAGGAGGAGGAGGAGGAGGAGGAGGAAGAGGAAGGAAAGAAAGAAGAAAAAAGAAAAGAAAGGAGGGAGGAAGAGGAGAAGAAAGGAAGGAAGAGGAAAAAAGGTGATGAGGGTGAGGATGAAGATTCCGGGGGATGGGAGGAGAGAGGGAATGAGGAGGAGGAGGACGAGGAGGAGGAGGAAGAGGAGGACAAGGAGGAGAAGGAGGAGGATGGTCCTCGTCGTCGTCGTCGTCGACGTCAGGCGTCGTCGTCGTCGTCGTCGCCGTCGCCGTCGCCGCCGCCGCCACTCTCTCTCTCGCGCGCGCCGCTCCCGAGGTAAGCGTGTGAGGAGAAGAAGGACGACGACGACGACGACCGACTATGACGACGACGACGACCGACGACGACGACGACGACGACGCAGAAAGAGATGAGATGAGGAGGAATGAATATGAGGAGGATGAAAAGATGGCCGTCAGACGTGGTCAGCCGTCCGTCGCCGGCCGCCTTCGCCGTCGTCGTCGTCCGTCGTCGTCGCCGTCGCCGTCGCCGTCGCGTCGCCGTCGCCGTCGCCGTCCGTCGTCGTCGTCGTCGTCGTCGTCGTCGTCGTCCGTTCCGTCGTCGGTCGTCGTCGTCGTCGTCGTCGTCGTCGTCGTCGTCGTCGTCGTCGTCGTCGTCGTCGTCGTCATCGTCGTCGTCGTCGTCGTCGTCGTCGTCGCCCCGTCCCGCCCCGTGCGCGTGCGCGGGCGCGTGCTTGCGCGGCCGGGCCGGTGCAGGATGATGATGGTGATGATGAGGAGGTGGAGGAGAAGGACGAGGAAGGATGATAGAGACGAGGATGCTTATGATGACGATGATGATGATGATGATGATGATCATCATCATCATCATCATCATCATCATCATCATCATCATCATCGTCATCGCCATCATCATCGTCATCATCATCACCGTCATCGTCATCGCCATCGTCATCATCATCCGCATCATCATCATTATAGTCATCATCATCATCATCATCACCAGCATCATCATCATCATCATCATCATCATCATCATCATAAACAACGTCGTCTTTCTCATCCTTCTTCGTCGTCCTCCTCCTCCTCCTCCTCCTC